ATTCGTGCAATGCTGCGTAGACAACGGTGTTCAAACACCGACAGTTTGTCCTTATCTTGTTTTCTTAATGGCCAAGTTTCTGCACCGTATAGCAGGACTGGCCGAGCTGTCGCGGCGTACACTCGACCCTTCACAGACAGCCGGATGTCGCGACGGCGCCACAGATGNAACCGGCCCTTCTGTATGCGAGCTGACACTTCATCCGTGATGCGTCCACCGGGTGAGATGTTGCTGCCCAAATAACAAAACTTATCCACCTGCTCTATTACTTCTCCAGTAAGAGTGAGGCTGGGTGCTGGACCAACCCAATCTTGTAGTGGCATTTTACACTTTGAAGGTGAAAAACGCATACCGAACATGGCAACACTAGCACTCAAACTTTCCAGAAAAGTTTGTAACTTACCTGGATCTTCAGTTAGTAGCACAATGTCGTCTGCATATTCCAGATCAGACAGCCTGCCACCTGGAAGTAAATCGGTGCCAAAATTCACAAAAATACACCCCTATTACTATGATCCGTTTAATAACGCTGCAACATTTGACATAATTACCGTAGTTAAGGTTCAAGAATTACTTGCTTCGTTTACCGCTTGTTAAGAAAAGGTGAACTGTGTTTATTATCCTCGGTATGTTTATGTATGGACCCCTCATGAACAGAGCTCACTTTAAGTGGAGATACGTAACGGTAAGGAATTAATTTTTTTGTGGTATTACTTTTTGATTTATTTCAGGGTTTGTGAATGCGAAACAATGTACCATTTGTATTACATTAGAGAGTTTTACTCACCGCAGTATTGCATGTTATACGAAAACACTGAAGCCGTACGAGATATGCCAAATGGTTTGACGATACGGTCACGTCGTTTACACCTTCTCCAATCCAAATGTAGTGCAGCATGCGACCGTCACACCTTTTCAGTTCTTGACCAAGCTTTGTGACATCAACATTTGTAGAAAATGATTTCTTCCACCATTCGTTTACCTCACAATATTCCGATACGTTTTAATCTGATTCGCCTACAGTGGTATGACTACAGTTTTTGCGTCGAGGCTAAAGGACTACGGGTTGTGGCTAAAGCATTGTGGGTTTTGGCTAAAGGAATGTGAGTTAAGGCTAAAGGACTGCGGGTTGAGACTGAAGCTTGATGGGAAAATGTGGGATTCAGTTGCAAAGTATGTACACGATTAAATTCGTCTACTCAATATTTCCACGACTTTTGCTTTGATGAATGGGATATAAATGTAGACCAGATTCTTGTTTAGTGTGTCGCTTAATAACTTGGGTTGGTGCCATCATGCTTTTGTGAATAATTGACTCAGCTTATCCACTCTCTAGAATAACATTGGATATTCTTTCTAGTTCAAATTCAGTGGGGTACGTAGAACAAAGTTTCTTTAGTTTATTGGTCAAGCAACGGATCAGACATTTTTCCAATATGCAAAGTCAATATAAACAACTAAGCTTCCTCTAAAATTGGAGCATTTCGATTAGCTGAAATAACTGAAAAACAACAATTTCAATATGATCACAGGACCTAATAATGGCATTGGACTCAGTGATCGCGAGTCATTGTTGAAGATATTGCTTGCAGACGGCGTCGCAGTGGTAGTGGTTAATCTGGTAAGATCCTACTTTGCCCATACAGAGGATCGTTTCCGTGCGTATAGTGAACTGAGTTCAAGAGTACGAGAAGGATTTCCGCCTTCTCCAGTGTTTTTCAACTTCGCTCTATATTAGATCATGAACCAGACTTTAAAACGCTGTCCAGGCATCCAAGTTTTCGTGGGATCGTCGACCTTGAATTCGCCAATGACGTAGTGGTTTTCGGTGAGAACACGGTCACCTTGCTAACGGCCTTCAAGTGCATCAATGGACACACTTCGGAGTTAGGCTTGGAAATCAACACTGTAAAGACCCACGTCCCGTGGTATCCGAGACGAGCCATACAGTTGAATGGTCGAACAATGGAAAACATTTCAAACTTCAGAAATCTTGATTCCGCCATCCTATCCAACAGACTGGCTGCGGGTAATGTCAAGCAGCGCGTAGGCCCAGCTCGCACACCCTTTCTGAAGTTCAAAAGTACTTTCTGGCACAGAAAGGAGATTGGTCTCAAAATCAAGCTCAGGGTATTTTCCACACCAATCCTCCCAGTCCTGCCGTGTGGCTTTATAACCTGGGCATTGAGAGCTGAGGATATAACAACACTCAAGGTTTTCAATCACCGGTGTCTCAGGTACATGTCCAGAGAAAAATGGAGCGAAAAAAATATGAAACGAGTCCATTAAAAAACGCGGCAGCAGCCTCCGTCTGTCAACACGCATTCAGCGTCGCCGATTACAATGGTTTGGACATGTACTCCACAAACCAAACCACGCTGTGGTAAATAGTGTCTCCGTCACCATCTCCCTGCTTAGGTTGGCGACAGCAACAAGGGAAAAATGAAAACCTTTTTTGTCTTTTTACTTCTTTTTTTATTTATTGAATATACAAATGTACAGTCAATTTTTAGGAAGGGGGCTGCAGCCATACAACGGCTGTCTGGGGGAATACAGAAATAGGGAAGACGGGCGGAGGTGGAGCGGTTCGAACCCGGGACTTC